GGGGCGGTGATTGGCGCTGGGAGCCTCTGGTCATGTGCAAAAGTCGGGTGGGGGATGGTGGCTGGGAGTCCTGGTCCCCGCCCCACCCCACGCAGCTTTTGCACATGACCACAGGGCTCCTAGCGCCAATCGCGGCCCCGCCTCCCAGTCGCTTCCATCCGGCGCCCAGCCGGGAATTCAGGAAATACCGGACATTGCACGTTGCACGTTGCACATTGCACATTGCACGTTGCACGTGGCTGGTATTTTCTGAATTTTTCGACCGGACAGACAGTGCAAATACTGGACTGTCCGGTAGAAAACTGGACACCTGGCAGCCCTAGCTCTGGCGTTGCACTGTGCTGGCGGGGAGGGGAAAGGGGGGGAGCCCAGCCTGTGTCCTGGGACCTGAGGCAGCACCTCAGAGACGTTAGCGCTTCAGAGGCAAAACGGCAAGTGTTACGCCAGGGTGGGCAAGAATTTTTTCTATGAATGGAGGAGGCGCGGGGTCTGGGATTGAGGTCGGGCTGTCTCGGCTCTCAGGTCGGGCCCATGCTCAGCCCATCCGTCCCCAGGCAGGACCCCCGCTCCAGTGCGGCAGCCCCTTCTCAGGGAGCCCACTCCAGTGCAGCGACCCTTTCTTGGGGGGGCTACTCTCACCTGGGGGGTCTGCCCTTCTGCCTCTGGGACGGTGCCTCTGCCGTGAGCCCCCTCGGGGGGTCCACTCCCTCTGGGTCCCCAGGGCCTCCACCCCCAGAAGGAACAGCGCCCCCCTGTTCTCTAGACCAGAGCGGCTGTCAGCCAGCACAAAGCTTTGAACGCAGCAAAGGATCCCTCAGGCCAGTCGGCCTGGGCCCCTCAGCCCCATGCATCAGTCTCTCCTGCAGCTGGCTGGGCTCTGCCTGCTCTGCTCTCAGCCCCCCAAAAACAGACCCCCCAGCCTCCCAGCAGAGCCCGCCTGGCCCCCCTCTTCTCCCCTCCTTTCCTCCGTCCAGTGCTCTGCCCTCACTGGGACCAGCTGGGCCGGTTACCAGGGTCCCTCTCTGCAGCCTAGTTTCCTAGGCTGTGTCCTTTGAGCAGGGTCGGGGTCACCAGAGTCCCAGATCCCTCACTGGCCCCCCTCTTCTCCCCTCCTTTCCTCCGTCCAGTGCTCTGCCCTCACTGGGACCAGCTGGGCCGGTTACCAGGGTCCCTCTCTGCAGCCTAGTTTCCTAGGCTGTGTCCTTTGAGCAGGGTCGGGGTCACCAGAGTCCCAGATCCCTCAGCTCCAAGTCTGGGCTGTTCTCTGCAACAACAAACTCCCCCCCCCCCCC